CGCTCCTACAAACGCGCCCACGGATGCCCCTACAGACGCCTCAACAACGGTGCCCACAATGACACCAACTGCCACGCCGTCACCAGTCCCCACGCACTCGAGTGCGTTCTCACAAATCGACTCGGACAGCAACGGTCTGCTCGATCTCAGTGAGGTCGAAGGCTATGTGAACTCGATCAAGGAAAAGGCCATCGCTGACATCAACACTGGCGCTGCTGCCGCAACGGCCTCCATCACCGAAAGCTTTAGCGCCAAGATCAAGTGCATTCGAGATGCCTTTAGCCAGGTATGATGTCCCACCGACTCTTTTGCAACTCTTAGCGGGCGATGTAGCTTTACGGATCGAGCCCAGGCATCCCGAACGACAGTGCACTTCAAGCGTTCTTTCAGGTCGTTGATGTCAACTGTGGCACTCTTGTGACACCTACGCCGACGACATCTTCGCCGCTTCCGGTGCAATTGCACTACGCGCATTCGGACGTCATCGACTACGTCACCAAGACGCTTCAAGCGTCCACAGACTTTATCAACTGCACGTCCTCGGCCTTGAGCAAGTACCCGGCCAACCAGCCCCTCAGCTACGACGACGTTCAGGTTTTGCTGTACACTGTTCGCCACGTCTGTCTCCTACCGACTACGCCCGTTGTGACAACGGTGACGCCGGCGCCGACAACCGCGACGCCGGAGCCAACGACCGTGACGCCGGAGCCAACGACCGTGACGCCGGAGCCAACGACCGTGACGCCCGAGCCAACGACCGTGACGCCCGAGCCGACAACCGTGACGCCCGAGCCTACCACCAGCTGGGTTTCAACGCCGACGCCGGCCCCGACCAACTATGAGCCGACCCTTGACGAGATCAAGAACGAAGCTGCTCAGGCGCTCGTCCAGATTGCAGCCTCGTCTGGAAGTCCGATCACTGCGGACCAGGCCAAGACGACTGTGGCCCAAGTCCAAGGAGCGTTGGAGGCAAACGTCACGACGATCTGGTTCAACTCGCCGGACGCGCGCGCCATCGTGCTCACGTACCTCGTCGAGTACTTTGCGACGCTCGACAAGTGCATCGACGTCGGTGTCGACGTCTTTGGCTTCAACGGTGTTGTGCAGCCCACTAAAATTCCGTCGCTTGTCTCGTGGATCCGCGATCTGTGCATGCTCCCGTACCCGTTTCCGCTCCCGGCGGATACCAACCGCGACGGGTTCGTCAGCGAGCTCGAAATCGACACGGGGCTCGTCCATCAGCGCAACACGGAGCTCGCGACCGTCAACAACGATCCGGCCAAGTTCTTCGCCATCCGCGCCACCTTTGACGCGATTCTTCAGTGCGCGAGCAGCGCGTTCGCGATCTTTGCCAACGCGACGACGCACGTCCTCAACCCGGCAGAGTATTTGGGCTTTGAGACGTACACCAACACGACGTGCACAAAGCCATTGATCGACACGGACACCTCGGGGGCCCCAACCGAGGCGCAACTCGGTGCGGACGTCACGCTCGCGAACGCACACGCCATCTTCGAGTCAAACAAAGCCAGCGATGTTGCGCTCGCCCTCAACACGAGCGCGCTCCAGTCGCTCGCGATCGAAGACCACTACCTTCTACTGCAGAGCTGTTACGACGACGCGTGGTCGACCGTCGGCCCGTCGCCGTACAACGGTCTCCTGCAGAATGTCACGCAGTGCATGACGAATGCCAAGGCCAACACGCCGTCCAATCTCCTCGTGCTGCCCAAGCCCGACTTCCGCTCGCTCCTCAACGCATCGTATGTGACAGAGTACGCGTCACTCGACGCGCAGATTGCATCGCTGCACCAGCAAGAGGTCGCGCTCATCGCCAAGGAGACCGCGCTCATCGCGTGCGTCTCGCAGGCCACCGAAACGGTTGCCAACGGCAAGGACCGCGTGCCGCAGCGCTTCTTGCCGCGCGCCGAGACCCTCGTCAACTCGTGCTACGCCAACGCTTCTTAAAGCGCGCTCTTGAGCATTATTCGCCTCATGCTGTAGTCCACCCTGTCTTCCACTATATGTAAACCGCTGTGTATAATCGATCCCTTGCATGACATCTTATTGCATTACATTTTCTTATTGCACAATTGTTCTTGACCAATTCTTGTCCAACGTAAATTTATGCAATTTCCTTTTGGCGCAACTCGTCCTCTTGCTTGGTCTTGAGCGACCGAATCTGCGAGAGGTGGAGGTTCCGAAGCACGGAAAGCGACTTTTGGACTTCGGCCATGGCAGCCGTGTTGTTGGCCTGCCGGTACTCGGCGTGCTGTTTCTGGAGCGCCTGGATCTCCTTGAACTGGTCCTGCATCAACCGGTGCATGTGGAACGAGTGCTCAATTTTGAGCTGGCTCGCGGCCGGCAGTTGCATCTGGCCTGCCTGCGAGGCGAGCGCGAGCGCCTCCACGGGCACATGCTGTAGCGTGTTGTTGTCAAACATAACACCGTACAAGAACTGGCCTTTTGCCGTCGGCGCCGAGATGATCTTGCCCTTCTTGCCCGTGAGCTGCGAGAGGCCATATGCAGCGAGCTTGTCGACGGCCTACATGGTGTATGCTTGAGGCTGCAGCGGGCCACGATGGTCAAGTATTGAGTACGACTTTGATGACAACTTCCGTCCCGATCGCAAAGGGCAGCTTCGCGTCGGTGGTGGTCTCCGATGGCAGCATCGGCTTGAGCGTCGCGGGCACATTTGGCTTGTACTTGGCAGCGAGCTGCTTGGGGTCCATGTTGTATGTCTGCGGCATCTTGATGCCTGGCGACGGCGCTGGCTTCAATGTGCTCATCTACGCATCGTGCGGTCACACTAGATCGACGACCAAGGTGGCTGGAGCTACCGAGGACGGCTGCGTTGCGCTTGACGTGCTGGGCGAAGCATACGACGTGTACGAGAGCTGCGTGCGCTTTGCTCGGTTCAGCACGGCTTCGTAGCCGATGGTCTGGACCAGCGCCCGGCGCTTGCGGTCATAGTTCCTACACAAGCCCAGCATGAGTCCGGTGGCGCTGCCGACGCTTCGTACCGCTGGCGCTCGGCGGCTGCGTTGAAGCTGAGGCAGTCGGATACGCTCTCGTAGTACTGCGCGATCGAGGTCGGTTCGAAGCTCTTGCGCCGGGTCTCCATGGCTCCACTTGCGTCCGGGTTTTGGCTCCGGGTTTTAATTTAAACCGTTTTTGGCGGTATCTGCATAATAATATTTGGTTTCCCACTGCCATGAGCTCCTTTTTATTTTATTTAAACATGGTATTTGTATGATTTTGCTTTAAAATAGTTTTGGAGATGAATAAAACGAGTCGTGATTTTCGCCAATTGACTTGTGGTCATTTCTTCAAGACCCGAACGAGGAAGGAAGCAGCAGCATGAGCTTGGAGAGCGCTACGAAGCTTGTCGGTGTCATCGGCGACGAAGATACGGTCACGGGCTTCATCCTCGCGGGCGTCGGCCACCGCACAGCCGAAGGCACCAACTTCCTCGTCGTCAAGCCCAGTGCGTTGCGCGCGTCGTATCGATAGGCAGCTCATGCCCATTGTAGCAACGCCGATCTCGGTCATCGAAGACGCCTTCAAGCGCCTCTCGAGCCGCGATGACATTGCCATTATTCTTATCAACCAGCATGTGGGTGACCGGATGGGCGAAAGACGGTGGCTCATAACGTGGCTAGGTTGCCGAAGAAATCCGCCATCTCCTGAACGCGTACGAGCAGACGATCCCCACGGTGCTCGAGATCCCGAGCAAGGACCTGCCGTACGATCCGTCCAAGGACTACATCATGAAGCGCGTCAACCTCATGCTCGGCGAAGGCCCGTAAAGCGCGCCGTGGTCGTACGATGCTATGGGGACACTGTAGAGGGCCGCCCATTATCACACACAATCTTTTGCATCATCGACTATCTTGAAGCTCCGGGCAAGAGCAGACGTTGGCATTGCCACAATGCAGGCTACGGTGTTTCCGTGTAGCGCATGCACGCACGATGTCGAGATTGCGATCTTCTGCGCATGGTGGATCGACATTTGGATCATTCTCAGGTCGAAACGACGCATGCGGATCTGACCGACAAGAGATGGAGGAATGAAGCGGCGGGTCGACAAACGAGGTAGAGGAGCTGGCCGTGTAGAGGGACGCGGATGACTTGTTTGCAAACAGTAGAATCGTTGTATTAGAATAAATCGTTCCCAGTTGTTGGCAAGCTAAAATATAAACCGAATGCAAAACTACGGGCCTGCGGTGGCGGAGTCGTCTACTTTCTCTTCTGGAGCGTGGCCGAGAGCCAGTCGAGGCCTTCGTACAAGCCGTCACCCGTCGTGGCGCAGCACGCCTGGATGAACCACTGGCGGTGGCGAAGGCCGTGGAGGCCAAGCTTGTCCGTCATTTCGGCGGCGCTCATCGCGTTGGGCAAATCCTGCTTGTTGGCAAAGACGAGCAAGATCGAGTCGCGGAGCTCGTCTTCGTTCAGCATACGGTGGAGCTCGTCGCGGGCCGCGTCGACACGGTCGCGATCGTTCGAGTCGACCACGAAGATAAGGCCCTGTGTGTTCTGGTAGTAGTGGCGCCAGAGCGGGCGGATCTTGTCCTGACCACCGACGTCCCACACCGTGAACGAGATGTTCTTGTACTCGACCGTCTCGACGTTGAAGCCAATGGTCGGGATCGTGGTCACGACCTCGCCGAGCTTGAGCTTGTAGAGGATCGTCGTCTTGCCGGCCGCATCGAGACCGACCATGAGGATGCGCATCTCCTTCTTCCCGAAGAGGCGCTCAAACACGCGAGAAAAGGCCATGCCCATGGTTGCTTCTTCCGGGCTGACTGAAAAAAGAAAACTGAGCGTCCCCGTCGCCGTTGACTTCGAATTTCTATATTCTCCCCTACCCTTGCTTTCTGCGCCATTCCATACAAACAATAAGATCTGAGGCGCACATAGCGAGGAGAGCCCAGGGACCCAATCAGAGGCCAGCATCGCCGCTCGAGCAAATCAGGGATCGCCACAACAACTCGCGTTGCCTGCCAAGTGCGCTCGAAAATAGAAATCCGTTGCAGAAATGGGAGACCTCGCCATGTGCAACAATCACTGCCTCTTTGTATGGACGGACGCCACACGTGTAAACGCCGCAAGATTGTTGGGCCGATTATTATCTTTTGCAGGTTTCGCGCTCTTTATTTTATTTGAAAATTATTATTCGCCACCACATCCTTGAAGCTCAAGAACGCAGCGACCATCGGGTGTCATTTTATTTTATGACGCGATATTAATTTCCTTCCCGTGCCTCCAAACGGGCCAAGATCGCGACAATAATAATATTCCAACGCAACAAAACAGGATACAAATCGCAAGGTACATTTTATTATATTGCACCCGCCGTGTCGTGTGCAACGCTCGGTAGGTAATGCCGCCGCGGGGCCGTTACGTGTTTTTCTTCCACTGGATACGGCGAAGGCGAGGGAAGATGGAGCTGATGGCGTCCGCCCCGCAGCGCCGAGAACGACCTTCAGGAAGGGAAGCTTCCTTCTTGCCGGTTCATGCTCCATGCTGCGTGCGCCAAGTCGCCTATCATCTCGTGAGCGGGATGGGCAGCGTGAGACGAGGGCATGGCGCGCTTCGACGCGCTCGCTTCGATGCACGCCATGGTCCTGGTCCTGCGGGACGACCCGCACGAGCTCTAAGAGCTGAGCGGTTTCATGCCGCAATCCTCGGTGGCCCAATCGCGGCGCGCCACGCCAATCGAGCCGTTTCCGAAGGCAGTGACCTCATGCCACGTGGCAGGCTCTGGCGAGAGAAGGCGAAAGGATCCATGTTGAAGGAAGAAGACGGGTGGTCGCGTTGGGAATACCCGATAGTCTACGAGCGCTGCATACAAGGTGGCTACATATCCCAGTCCCAGTTGTCGCCGCCCTTGGGCTTGTTCTGGAGCTTCAACGCGCCGAGGGGTTCTCGCTTGGCTTTCGCCTCGGACCGGCGGTCCTGGAGCGACTTTTTGGGCTCGGCTGGCTTGATAGGCGACGCACTCGCACTGCTGAACCCAACTGACGCAGACGGTTTTTGCAAACTCAGCGACCCCGAGCTCGTGCGCGACGCGGACGACCCCGTTGACGACGGCGCGCCCCAGTCGCCAAAGAAATCGTCCTTGGCCGCCGCAGGCTGCAACGGCTTGGGCGGCGTCACGTGTAACGGCTTTGGTGCCAAAGGCGCTTGCCGTGCAGAGGATGCGAACGTGCTTGGAGCGGGTGTCGACCACGACGCACTGGTAGTCGTAAAAGATGTCGCTGGTGTCGTTGTCGTTGGGCTCGTCAAATCGTCGAGGTCGTCGCCCCACGCGTCGTCACCGTCGTCATTGAAGTCATTTGCCGAGATCGGCGCGCTGAAGGCAGCAGGTTTTGGCTGCTGCCACGACGCGGACGAGGTACTCGAGACCGGCGCCGTGTCGGGCACAACAGGGTTGGCAGCTTCGTGCAACTGGCGCTCGCGCTCTTCGTCGGCCTCGCGCAGCTTCATTTGGGCGGCTTCGTCCTGGATCTTCTTAATGTAATCAGCCATGCACGTCAGCGTCTACGCAGGAATGATGCAACTTTGCCGAGGATCGCGAGTCGACCTCGTCGCGGACGCTGGGCGAAATGTCGAGCATGAGCGGCGCGATCGCAGGGATGATGGCGCAAGCAACGTCTTGGTACGTAAAGTACTCCTACAAAAATGGGAGCACTGAGACTTGCGCCATGGGGGAGAGCACGTACGTCGCAAGCGACCAGTGTGCGCAAGCCTGCGAGACGTGCGTGCGGGAACGGGTCTTTAAGGGCGCGGCAGAACGCGGGCAAGAGCACTTTGGCTCGCGTGGCGGCGCTGAGATGCGGCGCGATCTTGCCCAGGCAAATCGTCGTGTTGGTGCGAATGGCAGGTTCCGGGTCCGTCTGCCTCGGCATGTCAGCAACCATATATTTTGCAAAGGGTAACCTGGAGCTTGGCAAAGAACTTCATGAGCTTCGTATTCAAGTTGGAGTCGGAGAGCTTGTCGGCGATGTGCAGCATGCTCTTGACCGTGTACTCGCGCAAGACGGCCGACGTATCATGGAAACCGGTGCAGATATTGTCAAAGATAACGTTGCTGTTGACGAGCTTGGCATCAAAGTGCACCGCGAACGACTCCATCATCTGCAGCAGCTGGAGGCGCACGGCGCGGTCGTTGCAGCCAAAGAGCTTGATGAGCGTCGGCAGCACTTGGTCTTTGAATTCGTCCGGCTACACAAACGGTTCCATGCTGCAATGCTATGCTCGAGGTACGTACCGAGAGCTGGTTTCCGATCTTGACCATGGCCGGCAACATATGACTCTCGGACGGATCGAGCTTGTAGTTGCCACCGGCCTTGCCGCCCGTCGCGACGCCAAAGTCGACAATCGCCTTGAGCGCTGGAAGGACCTTGAAGACGGCCGTGTGCTTGGGCAGAGCGTCGATGCTTGCACTCAGATCTTTGTAAAACTCGACCTTTTCGTCCGGCGACTTGATGGCGAGCTCGTCGAGAAATGTCATTTGCCGCAAAAAGTGCGACTCAAAGTACGCGCTCTGCAGCGCCTGTTCGGGGTTGAGGCGCCGCGTGGCCGTCGCGTCCGTGCTGCGCTTGACCACCGTCGAGAGACCGGACGGAACGCGACTCGCATCGCTCGGCGACGAGAACGACGGGTGGTGCAGATAAATGATGAGGCACGCGAGCGCATACATATCCACCGCGTACGTGGGCGACGACGCCACAGACGACCAGTCCCGGCGGGCGCACTCTACGCAGACTCTAAGAACGAACAGAGCTCGATTGGGAGGCGTACCGGGTGCCTCGAAGCGCGGGTCCACCGTGTGGTCGTGCTGGACGAACGGCGCACTCATGTTGGGCTCGCCCGTGAGTTCAAAGCCGCCGAGCTTCCACTCGCCGCCCTAGCATAACACATACGTATGCGCGTATATGGGAGCACGAGCGCTACCTTGGTGACAAAGATGCTGGTCGGGTTCAGTCGGCCATGAATGAGCTTGACGTCGTTGTTGATAAACTTGAGCGCGCCGAGGATCGACCGAAGCCCCCAAGCGAGGAGGACCTTCTCCTCGTTGCTGTTGGCACCATATTCGGCGCGGATGTCGTCGAGGTAGGCGTTCAATGGTACGACGTCTTCGGTGACGA